GGTAAGGAGCTAGTATAGTACAAAGGCCAAGAATTACTAAAAACCTATTATTCACATTTTAGTATATCCTGTAGTTTCTATATTAGACACTAATGTGTTAAGAAAAACCCAAGGAACAGTGTTCTAGCACATTAACAAGGAGTTCATTCGAACATACTATTGTGCAACTAATCTTGACTTTTAATTAAAATTTTGCATATATACTCAGGTATACAATCTTGAGATCTTACACTTCTCCTATATTTATTTAGAAGTATTATCAAAGACTTATACTTCTGTATTTATTTAGAAGATCTTGAGGGGAGTGAGTAGAAGAGGAAGGGTATCTTGATGGATGGTGGAGCAAAGAAATAAGTGGGTCAGGACACTTGTGCCAAGGGCAGGGACAACACCGAAACTAACGGTTAATTCCACAATAAGGGATGTATTTTCACTTTTTCTGTAAAATGCTCATCTGTTGGAAACTTCTCTAAATCTGAACATTCAGATTAAGACACACTAGGAAGAAGGACTGGCCATCCATTTCCAAAATAGCAGGCCTCTGAAAACCCTATGTACAATGTCAAGAAGACAAAGATTCTCAACACTGGACCAAGCGGCAGCATCAGGATGGATGGGGAAGAGATTGATATTGTTCACAGCTTTAGTCTGCTTGGCTCCACAATCAACACTCTTGGCACCAGCAGCCAGGAAATGAAAAGACGTATGGGACAGTCTGCTGTTAGCATGGTCTTCACAATCACTTGTTATGCGTCAGAGAGTTGGACAATGACTAAGGAGGATAGAAGAGAATTCATGCCTTTGAGCTTTGGTGTTGGAGAAGAGTGTTGAGGGTACCATGGATTGCTAAGAAAACAAAAAGATTCATCCTAGAGAGGGTTAAACAAGGCTGCTCCTTGGAGGCAATTCTGAAGCTTTGTCTGACATACTTTGGTCATGTTGTAAGGAGAGATCGGTCCTTGGAGAAGGACATCATGCTTGGGAGAGTGGAGGGCAGGCGCAGGAGGGGAAGGCCCTCTAGGAGATGTATTCGGTGACTGGGATAATCGGGATGACTGTGTCGGAGACAGTGAGATTGGCACAGGACAGAATAGAGTTTAGGGCTGTTGTACTTAGGGTCGCTATGATTCGCAAACAACTCGACGGCACATAACAACAACAACTATCAAAGAAAAAAAAGAAACACATTTGAAAAATGAAGATAAACAAAGACTAAAAATAAAAGGGTGGGGGGAAAAAAACCAAGCAAATGGAAACCAGAAAAAAGCAGGAGTGGTGATATTAATTTACAATGAAATAGATTTCAATGCAAAAACCAGCATAAAGGAAAAGAGAGGTTACTACATAATGATTAAGCGGTCAATAGAACAAGAAAATATAACAATAATAAATATCTATGCACCAAAATGAGACCTGCAAAATATATAAAACAAACATTAACAAAACTGAAAAAGGAAATAGACAACACTAAATGGTCGCTCTGAGTCATCTACGGCTTGATGGCACTTAACAATAACAAGAACATAGAGAGCTCTGTTGGCCTAGTAGATAGAAAGTTATTCTACCAAGCCAAAGGTGGGTGATTTTAATCTGTAGTCTTCAGGCCTGGTTTTAATCGGTTTTGGTTAAACATTCTTCTAAGTGGTATAGCACTGGTTTGTCGATTTGCTATACAGAGTTAACTCATGGTTGCTGGGTTGTTAAACTTTGTGACACTGATGTGTAAAATGTGATTACCCATGGTGGAAAGTGTTTGTTGGAGCTTCCTGACTAAAACAAGCTTGGAAACAGGAGTGGCAGCCACTTTTGAAATAGTTTGCCTCTGGAAACTCTATAAACATGGGGAAACAATGAAAGTTATACAAGTGTTCAGGTCTTTTGTTAATAAGGTTGCTATGAGTCACCTATAACTCGATTCCACTTAACAACAACAACAGCAACATACTCAGACAAGTATGAAAATCACAACCTACCTAAACTGACACAAACCGAAATTAAACACCTGAACAGACCCATTACAAAAGAAAAAGGTAATAAAACAAGTTTCAACTAGAAAAAGCCCTGGACCAGATGGTTTTACAAGTGAATTTTATCAAACATTGAGAGAAGAACTGTCACCAATTCTACATAAACTATTTCAAAAAATAGAAAAAGATGGAAGTCTCCCAGACTCATTCTATGAAGCAAACATATCCTTGATATCAAAACCAGGTAAAGAGACCACCAAAATAGAAAACTATAGGCCAGTATCTCTCATGAACACAGATGCAAAAATCCTAAAGAAAACAACAAACAAACAAACAAACAAACCTGGCTAATAGAATCCAACGATACATAAAAAAAATTAATTCATCATGACCAAGTGGGATTCAAAACAGGTATGCAAGGATGGTTAAACATAAGAAAAAGTGTAATTCATAACATTAACAAAGCAAAGAACAAAAACCACATGATCCCATCAATTGATGCAGAAAAAGCCTTTGACAAAATACACCATCACTGCCTGATTAAAACACTCAACAAAATAGGAATAGAAGGGAATTTCCTCAATATAGTAAAAAGTATATATGCAAACCTGAGCCAACGTTGTTCTGAATGGAGAGAAGTTAAAGGCATTCCCCTTGAGAACAGGAAATAGGCAAGGATGCCCACTACCACCTCTCCTATTCAATATTGTATTAGAAGTCCTAGTGATAGCAATAAGACAAGGAAATAAGAGGTATCCAAGTTGGCAAAGAAGAGGTCAAATTATCTCTATATGCACATCATATGATAGCATACTTAGAAAGCCTAAAGATTCAGCAAGAAAACTACTGGGCATAGTTGACCAATTCAGCAAAGTGGTAGGATACAAGACCAACATACAAAAATCAACTGGATTTCTCTACAGTGATAAAAACAATATGGAACTGGAGCTTAGAAAAACAATACCCATCACAATAGCTATTCACAAGATTAAATACTTGGGAGCAAATGTAACCAGAAACACAAAGAATCTATTCAAAGAAAATTACAAAACATTACTACAAGAAACAAAAAGAGATCTGGAGAAATGGAAGAATCTCTCTTGCTCAGGGATAGAAAGACTCAATATTGTGAAAATGACTATGCTACCAAAGGCAATCTACATGCTCAATGCAATCCCAATACAAATATCAATTCCATTCTTCAATGAGATGAAAAAGGCAATCTCCAATTACATTTTGAATGGAAAGAGGCCCCAAATAAACAAAGTAAACCTTAAGAAGAGAAACCGGGTAGAAGGTATTTCACTCCCTGATTTCAAATCCTACTACACTGCCATGGTGGTCAAGACAGTGCAGTACTGGTACAATGACAGACACATAGATCAATGGAATAGAATTGAGAACCCGGAAATCAGCCCATCTACCTACAGTTAACTGATTTTTGACAAAGAGATGAAATCAGTTAAGTGGGGAAATAATGTTGGCAAAATTGGAAAACCATCTGCAGAAAACTCAAACAAGACCCACATCTAAGATCATATGCAAAACTAACTCAGAAGTGGATCAAGGGCCTAGGACTAAAACCAAGGACTATAAACCTCATTAGAGCACTAATACTCAACTTGAAGTCTTCCAAGCATTCCGAAAAACCAAAAAAGGATAAAATAGATGATTGGGACCTTCTAAGAATCAAATCCCTATGCACACCCAAAGCCTTCTCCAACAGGGTAAAAAGGGAAGCCACAGACTGGGAAAAAATATTTGGTAATGACATGTCTGATAAGGGACTTATAGCTAGAATTTATAGAATACTCAAATGCCACAGCAAGATAAAGACAATTGACCCTTTTTAAAAAAAAATTAATAATTTTAATGAACATTTTGGATTTCCATTCATTCATTGCTAAACTTCTCTCCCCACCCAGCTCTCCCCACACACAACCCCCCAGTTCACTTTTCTCTTTGAAAAGTAAAAGAAAAATTCCCTCCCTGGTAAAATGGGTAAAGGATATGAACAGACACCTCACCAAAGAAGACATTCAGATGGCAAACAAACACAAAGAAATGTTCAAAATCCCTAGCTCTAAGAGAGATGCAAATCAAACAACTACGAGATATTCTCTCACCCCAGAAAGAATACCAAAATTTAACAGAGCAGCAAACAACAAATGTTGGCAAGGTTGTGGAGAAACTGGAACCCTTACTCACTGTTGGTGGGAGTGTAAAATGGTGCAATCACTATAGAAGGTAATAAAGTGCTTTCTAAAAAAGTTAGAAATAAAAAAAATCACTTGATTCAGTAATTCCACTATTGGAAATATACCCTAAAAAACTCATAACTGCCACCCAAGTAGATATATGTACACCCATGTTTATTGCTGCTTTGTTCACAATAGCAAAGAGTTGGAAACAACCCAAGTTTCCATCAACAAACAAATGGACAGAGAAGCTATATTCACATAATGGAATATTAAGCACCACTGAAAACCAAGTAACTCATGAAATATTATACAAAATGGGTGACCATGGAGAACATTATGCTGAATGAAGTATCGCAGTCACAAAAAGACAAAGACTGCATAATGCTACTGTTATAGATCAGGACTGATAAGGGGGTTGGGGGAAACTAGAGGGGATAAATAATGTACATGGTATTGAAAAGGATGAGGGAGAGAACTGTCTAAAAGGAATATATGATTAGGTATTAATGGCATGCATGACAAGATTCCAGAATAAGAGTTGCATAATAAAGTGGTGATGGTGGTGGGATGGGATGGGACTGAATAATAATGAAAGAACTTTTTTTTAAGAAAAAAAAAAAAAAGAAAGAAACAAAAACAAACCAACTGGTGGGGAGGGTGACAGGGAGGAAAATGCAACAATGAATGAATGCAAATCCAAGTTCTTTATAAACTTCCATTAAAATCTATAAAAAAATACTTAATACTTCAAGAAGAAATAACATTACAAAAGATTTGGAAGTACCAACATACAACCAAATATACCCAAAAGTGCAAGACTCAGCAGCACTGCTTAAAGCTCTGTTATCCAACTATAGTCGATTTTCCTTAATTTTCTCAGTTCTTTTTCTTCAGATTTTGACAACTGATTTATATCTTCTCCCAAATCTATGTTGTTTGTATCCTGGATATTTTCAGTAAAATCATTTTCTTCATCTGAACTGTCATTTTCTTTTTCTTCTTCCATATCTACATCATCAGGAATTTCTTCAGCTCTTTAAAAACAGAATATTAATACTTGTTAATTAATTAAACATGCATTCATAAATAATAATTTGCCAATTTAAGACTTATGTGGGAAATCTGGACAAAGTGTAATGAACATTTTGTTATTAACTGCTTTTTACAAATTATGGAGATAAAGAGAAGAGCAACTTGTAAAAGTCTGTAATATACAGTGAATCCTCAAAAAACACAAAGGAGTTGAAATTATTTTTAGTATGTGTAACTTAATTATTTTATATCTTTTAACCACATTTTAAAACTGGAGTGAAAGAAAATATAATATAAAAATACCCTAATCCAAAATGGGGAAATTAGCACATATAATGCTGTTTTTCTAAATAGAATATCTAAACATACCTCTTAGTCTCCTTAGATAGCAGCAATGAATTTACAAACATGGAGCACAGAAAAGAAGCAGATGGTAGTACATGGGCTGGAGTATGAAGAAGCTAGAATAAAAAAGAAGTAACAGGGTTTTATTAAAAAATATTATCTCTTGGCACAATATGCTCTTTCAAATGTCCTTACTAATAAGTTATCTATTATTATAAATGATAAGAACCAAATACATAAGATTTTTTAAAAGAAAAATAAAATCAAAGAGAAATATATTTTCACCTTCCCAAATTTATGGCAATAAGCAAACCTTCCCCTCAGATCTAAGCCAAAGCAATTTATGCTACTTGCTCTCGGCATTAAAGTTGCATACTCTACAAATGAATAACTACAAATTATTTAATTCAGAAAGATTGTACCAAACTCTAACTTAAGAGTGCTTTAACATATTTAATCTATTTCCCTTAATAATTACTTACCTCACTAATTGCAGGTATGTTTTCTGTTAATGGTAGTTGTATCAACTCATTTCCCAAAGTATCATTTAATTTTTCATCCTGCGGTTGCCTGTGTTTTCCCAAAATGAAATAAAATGGGGTTGCTGGAAGACTATCTTCTGCAAGCAGCTAGAAGAATTTTAAGACAAAGGGAAATTATTTCTAAACAAAGAATTGCTTTAACTGAAATAGGTTTCTACATTGTTGTGTACCATCTAGTCAGAAATGATCCATAGCTGACCCTCTAGTGTGTTTGCAGAGGCAGTAAATCACATGAGAGAATGCTTATTTTTCCTCAGTACAGCAAGGAGATGGTAGATTTGAACAACGTGCCTTTGGGTTGGCAGCAGAGCTTCCTACCACTAGGCCACCCGAGCTCTTTATTGTTACGTCAGGGACCTTTAGAAATGATCCAGTGTAACCTTCTCACTAAAGTTTCAGAATGAAGACCTATGATGGCCTTACTTATTAAGGAAAAATTCAATACTATAGCCATTTACTAAATAAGAGAAATGAGACATTTTCTGTCACTTCTGTGAATTCTACAAAATGACAGTAGAACATCTCTATAATAAAAGTCAAAGATCAAAATGGGTTGAAAACAAGCTAACACTAAAGTGAGGAAAAAGACTAAAGAATTAAATATATAATGATATAGATGAGGTATATATGTGCAGTGATATAGATGAGGTATGTATGCATAATGATAGAGATGAGTTATTTTATGTATAATGACATAGATGCGGAAACCTCTCAGAAAAAACAAACAATGGGGGAAAAAACCTTCTAGAGCACTATTCTAGGATGTTCAACACTAAGTAACTGGAGTTCTAGAAAAAATGTAGTTAAGGAGATTATTAAATATTTCTAGAAAAATATTCTAAGGCATGAATTCCCAGATAGAAAGGGTCTAATGAATGCTTACTACTACAAAACAAAAATATTCACAGGGCATGCCATTATGAAGTATCAAAAGCCAAGAACAAAAAAATTTACCCTTTGTTCTTGGCTCAAAACTTTCCCAGAGACTCCACATATCAGTCAGAGGAAAAGTCCTTGTCTTTTCAGTAGGCCAAACTTGACTCTGCTACTTACAATTTAAGCTGTACCCTAGGCCTTTTTTTCCTTTGTGTCTTATCCATTATAATTTCCATTCTCTTCTAAAATATAAAAGATTTTACTAATCTATTGCCACATGTTTACTATCTATATCTATGGCTAGACTGTGAATACAGGTTTAGAAGCTTGGCTATTTTGTTCATGGAAAAGTGCAGGAGAGGAAGATGAAGACCAACGATGAGATGAACTGACTTAGTGACTGGTGATTAGTGTGTCAGATACAACAAGGTTGGCTCAAATAGAGCAGGGTTCAGAGCTGTTGTCATAGGGTTGCTATGAGTCACAAGCAAATAACAGCATCCAGAATAATCTCAGACATAATACAGTAGATGCTTAACAAACTAGTGAATGAATTGATTGATTTTCCAGAGGAAAGCCCGGTTATAGATAAAGAATCAAGAATAAAAATGTTGTTATACATCTAGCAATACTGGATGCTACCTAAAATGGAAAACTCTTTTGAAAAAATTTTTAACCTCATATTCTATATCCAATCAATCAAGTCAAAAAAGTAAAACAAAGGCATTTTCAAATATGCCAGGTCTTAAATTTACCTCCTATGAACTGAGAAAATGTACTTCACCAAATCAAAGGAGAGTCCGAAGAAAGGAAAAACGAGATCCGACAAAAAAACCAGAGGTAGAGTGAACCCTCAGGATGACTGTCCAGGTAGATCATAAGGTGATGACTGTGTAGGTTTATAGGGCATTAAGTTTGGACTACTAATGTGAGTCATGGGATTCATTCTCAGAAATATTTTTTTCAAGACTTAAAATACCTAATATATTTGAAAATACAGAGAGGAAGTTTACACAACTTGGGTTGTCTGGGGTTGAATTAGGTGAGAAGTACACAGAAAACTAAGTAAATGAAACGTAAGATAATCATTAACTTCAGAGAAGGTAAAATGTTGGTTACAAAAGCAAAAGAAAAAAAATCATTTCCCACGTTTCTGCTATGAATGGTGTAGAGAGGGTAATAATGAAGCATGAACAACCTGACCCACCTGAAATGTACTTCTATTAGACAACCTGGTGGTCAGTAAGGTGTGCATGAGCATGGAAAAGAGTTAAAGCCTCACTTGCAACAGACAGAGTCAACAGAAAACACCTAAACTGGGAAATGCCAGAATTGGCAATATAAACATGCATTTTACTGATACAAAGGTAATTAAAAACTACAGCAAGAGGTGAAAATGAGTATCTTTAATTGTAATGGTGGAGGCCTGGAGTTGGTACTGAAGACTAGCTTTCCCTGAAATGCCCTCTAAAGTGATTTATTATTGGTAATATAAACTATGAAACAAATTAGTTTACATATGAGAACACAGATTTTTAACTGCATTTTAAAGCCATGTGAAAATCTCCTTCTCACAGCTGAGGTCTACCAGATAAGCTTATCTTTGCATGGAAGCAGTGCAAACTACATCATAAGTGACTGAAACACAACATACCTGCTTGCTTGTTGGTGTGAGTTTCTCTTCTGGAGACTTTGCACTGAATGTCAATAAAGTCTGAAAAGAGACCAAATTAACAATGCAGTTTATCAAAAGGTAAGCAAATGAAGGGAGTGCAAATCTAGGAAAGTGTTTATAAGTTAGAAAATCAGGCAGCCAATTTTCAGAGATTGTGATTGTAAAATATATGCACATGTATATCAAATAAATACACATGCATATTCTGAGTCAGAATGTATTTGATGGTAATAGGTTTATGTACACACATACTTGCCCACAGGGAAAAAAAAAAATAAAAAATGTAAAACATGTTTAGGAATTGGCTGTTGTTAGATGCCACTGACACTGAATCTAAACCGACTCATGTCTGACCCTTCAATGGGTTTTCAGAGGCTGTAAATCACTTGGAAGGTGACTGACTGCCATCTTTCTCTCATGGTGCAGTTGGTAGACTGGAACTGGTAGTGAAGTAAAATTCAAGTGCAGACCAAACTTAGGTCTCTGTTTCCTTTAGAGCAAATCAAGTACAATTAAAAATTAAAAAAAGGAAAAGAAAACATGGTAATTTTATATTTTAAGTAATTTTAGTTGTGTTCTATTTTTTCCCCTTGTTACTGAGCTAATGTAAGTACAATTTAAAGAGCACCAAAGCTGTGGTAGTGGTGTCCCTGTGTGTTGCAAATGCTGAGCATGGTTGGTTATCAATCAAAGATCAGTGGTCCAATCTATGCAGAGACACTCAGAAGAAAGGTCTGGTGACCTACTTGTGAAAAATCAGCCATTGAAAACCCTAGAGCACAGCTCTATTCTGACACACGAGGTCGCCGTAAGTGCAACTGGCTCATGTTGGTAACACCATGGCAAAGAATATTTAGTTATTTCTTTTGGTAACTAATTCTTTAAAGAAATCATTTTATCTGTTATTGAAAATGGGATAATTATAATCTTCTAATATTAAAACAATTAAAATTTATACATAGAAAATGACTGATTGCCTTAAGAGCACTAAGCTACCTGTGATCTTGTGAGGAAGTAAAACTGGGATCTGTTCAGCCACCGGTAAGCTCCTGAGTTGTACGATTCTGGGACATCTCGTGGCACGAACACGC